AAAAACCAAAAAACTGACCTTTGCTTTTTAGAGCAGTTTTAGGTTTACAAAAAACTTGTGCAGAAAGTACGTTGTTCCCATATACCTGTCTTCCCCTGAACATTTTCTCCTATTAACATCTTGCATTAAGTGTGGTATATTTCTTACAGTTAATGAACTAATATTGCTACATTACTATTAACTAAAACCCATAGTTTTCATTGGCATCCTGAGGTGGTACAGACAGAGTGCTATTGCCGAGTGGTTAGAAGTTGAAGTCTACCAGAGGTGTCTCAGAAGAAAGACTTGGCAATCTACTTCCAAAACACTCAGCCACTGAAAACCCTATGGAGCACAGTTCTACTGTAATACATGTGGGGTCACCATGACTCAAAACTCAGTTGACAATAATGTGTTTGGTTTTATAGTTACATTAGGGTTCACTGTCGTACAGTAGTCCTGTGGTTTTTGACAAATGCATCATGTCATGTGCCCACCATTACAGTAACATGCATGATAGTTTCACTGCCCTAAAAATGCTCTCTGTTCCTCCACCTATTCATCCTTCTCCACCCCTGAATTCCTGACACCACAGATCTTTATACTGTCTCTGTAGTTTTGCTTTTTCCAGAACCATAGAGGTGGAATCATAGAGCTTTTTCAGCCTGGCTTCCTTCACTGAGCAATATGTATTTAAGGTTCCTCCATGTCTTTCTACGGTTTGGTAGCTCATTTCTTTTTATTGCTAAATAATACAGCATTGTCTAGATGGAACAGTTTGTTTTATCTTGATTGTTTGCACTATTTTGGCAATTTTTAGTAATTTGTTTTATATCAATGTCTGTAGTAATTGATCTGTACCTATAGCTTTCCAAATGCTATGTCACAGTATCTATACCTGGGGCAGTTCCTTTGGCTGTGTCAGCCTCATTGTATACCCAATATACAGCAGAAATAATAATTATTTCTTAAGAATCACTGTACTAATTATAAATAACCAAAAAGTTAACTTAGTCCTATAAGATTAAGGCTGATTTTTTTAAATCTTGCCAAGAAGTCGGTTTTAGTATTCTATCCTATTTTTAGATTAAAAAATATATCTTAGATGTATGTATATAAGTTAAATAAAATGAACATTTTTAAAAACATGCAGTTAGGTATCCTTTTTTCTTTAAAATTTTATTCATATAAAATTAAGAGGTGACCTAGTTCATGTAGTTTAAAAATCCAATAAAATTAACCAGGTTTAGTTGTTGGATGCCAGTAAATACTTTATAACTCTAAAATCCAGGATTTCTACCTGAAAAAAAAAAAGAAAAACTTGTCGGGGGAGGGGGGAGGAACAGAAAAACTTGATCAAAGTTTATTTAGCATTTTTATACTGTATATAAAATAAACACTTGAATAACTCAAATCTAACAATCTACATATGTATTTTTCCATAGGAAAGTGCAAGGAGAAAAGAAAAATACCATGAGCCTCAAGAATATTTGAATGAAGTAAAAAGATCCCAGCAAAAATTTAGCTATATACAATCCCCAAATTCATTTTATGAATACCATCAAGATTTTACCAGTCTAGATATAAACAACAAAGCAAGATCTCCAAACTTGAATATGTATGACTCTTCTATTATTGCTATGGGGGTCACAGAGTTAGAAAGTTCTTCAGGACTTTGGCCTACAATTTCACAGATTACTCTTAGTGAAGAGACAAAGACAGGTGTGTATTTTTACAGCTTCCTCATACTTTTTCTTTTGATGTTAATATTTCTTGCTTTATATTTTCTCTGAAGGTATCAAATAAAATCCTTTTCCGTAAGTCTTAAGATTTCCATTTTTTCGTGAAAATGTTGCATTCTTATTTCAGAGTTTCCTCCCAGACATTTTCAATGTAATTGGCTAATAAAAAGAGAGAATACATTTTAACAAAGCAAAATTTTGGACACTCAAAATAAAACTGCATTATGCTAGAAATGGTGTAATGATTCAGTTTGGAAAATACTTCTGTACATTTTCAGCTCACCTAGGAAATCTGGGAAAATGGCTGACCTTTTTTGGTCAAAGGGGCAATCTGAAAATTATGTTATTAATAAAGACAATTTATCTTATGGAAAACTGTCTTGTTAGCTACCTTTTAATGCACAGACAGAACAGCAAAGTTCTTAAGTTTCAAATAAGTTGATAATGTTAAAAAATATCTATCTTCTAAAAGTCATTACTAAAAGCTAGCCACAGTTCTGTCAAATGTGATTAACAGTGTTCTTACCTTACTACAATATGGACATTCACCAAATATGATGTTAAAACTCTGTCTACTAGTTAGTAGTCCTCTCAACCACTGAAAATGTTAAAAAGAAGAAAGGAAACAGTGTCAGAATGATTACAGATAGTCCAAAATGAATGCATTGCATTTTCAATCCAGAAGATTAATCTTCTTAATTATGTTTTGAAAGAATAAGTGGAACATTTCCTAAGTCAATACTAGAATAGTAATATTTAGCATAACAAAAAGAAATCAGCATGGGATTTAAGGTATAGACCACTGATTTTTAGTCAAATTATGGACCCTATAAGAACTTGAAAAAGGTTATGTACCTTTTCTACCCCAAAAATTAACATACAAAAAATAGTACATACAGTTCCATGGGGTTTAGAGACTTCCTCTAAACCCATTAAGCAGAAATTAAGGACCCCACTGTGAGAGATACCATGGGCATTTGAAAATTTAGGTCTCAATTCTGGTCTTTCTTTAATCACCAACAGTGGGTGAAAGCCCAATCCATAAATAAATTACTTGAGGCAGTGGCATGAGGCATCCCATCTTAAAAAATAAAATGAATATTCATTATTACGAAAAAAAAAGCACATGTTCCCTTGCAGTATCTGGATCTGGTATTTTATAATTTTATATAAAATAAATTATGTTGCATCATCAAAATACAGATAACACTAACTGCTATGTCTAATGGCAATCACAAAAATAAAGTGATAATTAAAGAAGACTCAGAAAATTGCAAGCACTATAATGTAAAATGTTTAATAAACTGATTGACCTATAATTAGTTATATCAACTGTGCCCCAGGACAGTTTCTATAGAGAGCATATGCCTAAAGAGAGAAATGAAGGTAGGTTTCATATATAGTAAATAAACAGAAATAAAATGGCACTGCCTGAGAGAGATGAGAGATGTTCAGATGACAAAAAGCATTCTTCTCAGTATCAAAAGTAGGATTACTGAATTTATTCTGTACTTAAATCCAGCCTGGAAAGTAAGTTATTATATAAGTAGTATTTCCCTTTCTTTCACTGCCACCATCCCTACTTGGATTAAGTCTGTATCATTTGTATTGTGGTTACTTGAGCTATTTACTAAAAGATTGCATTGCACCATCAATTTGATTTGTTGTAAATCAAGTCCATGAATATATTCTGGATACATTTCTCTCCTTTTTTGAATATTAAACTTTAGGACATTTCTTTACTCATTACAAACTATGATGAAGAAATTAAGCACATGGTTGTCTGGAAAAAACTGGTAAAAGGATTACAAAAGAGGGGACAGTTATTTACTAAACAGATTGTAGATTCTGTGTATTTCAAGGATGCATACTTATTTCTGTGTTAAGTGTTGGCTGAAAAAAGTGTTGCTGATGTTGTTTATTTTTACCTCGTATAAGCATATTTGATGGAAAGGTTGTCCACATTGAGGATTATCACACACTTGATCAGGAATTGTGCCATCGAGCTGATAAGCATAGCAAATCCCACAATCCGCAGTGAAATCCTTCAGAAGAAAATAAATATTTGTAAAAATATGTTTAAAACACAAAAAGTGAAATAAGAAAGAATAAATAATATGGTATCACCAGTATTAGATTTTTATAAATACAGTTTTTATAAAGATAAATAATGCTCATTATTTAACTGCAATAACTGTGGAAGACAAGATTTGACAATAAGTAGTGATTACCAAAGTTGACAATTCTGTAACTAAGACAAAAAAAATACCCCACCACTTTAGTAGTCTAGAACTTTAGTTAGCAGCTTGGTCAACAATCAATTCTAAGTTTATTATTTCTGGAAAGGAGTCTTGTCTATTAATTTTATAAAACTGTATCACTCTCCTTTACAAACACTAATAAAACTAATTGAAACTTTATTTCAGTCATCTCTAAGCAAAGAGTACAGAAAATTCAAATATCTCATTAACTACTCTGGGTCTTTCCCCTGTTTTTAATAATAAAGTTGCCAGTCATACTACGAAGACCATGAAAAAAAGTACACTTATAACCACCAATCAAAGGTTAGTAAGTTCTTTGATACAACTATTGTTTGCAGGTTAGAAATCTGTTAGAATATTATTCTAATTCTCTCCTGTTCCTACTCATTTTTCTTTGGTACCTAGAAGAAGACCATTTAATTTTCATTATGCAACACTATTTGGACTATCAAAGCACTACAAAACAACTTACAGATTTTTCCAGGATAGCACGAGCTGGAAAATCAATTTCTAAGACATCTTTCAAGTTTTGTAACAGAGTATTTTCTGGATCCCTGAAAGAATGCGGGAGGGGGAAATATCTACTATTAAATTTGTGAAAGCGCAGAAAAATTAACAGTTACAATGCCAAGATACGTACCACAAATGTATGTTCCTGCTTAGTTTAATTCCCAGGGGTTTTACCACTTCCGATATATATTAAAAAAAAAGAAACAATTAGTAATTTAGAATTTGCTTTTAGTTTTGTAAAGCCACGTTTGGCACAGAGTTAGCTTTTTAACTACTTGGAAAATCCAAATCATATATATCATGTATTAAAAAAATCACAAAGGTATATATAGCTCAGAATGATGAGATATTTCATTTAAAATAATTATGATTAATATCTTTATTTCAGAATAATATTTTAACAGTGGTAGGCAAGGATTTTATGATTCTTTTAGAAACAATTAAATCTGAGGTCTCATACCATGGTCAGCTCCAAGAAAGCAGCACTCAGGAAGCATAGTGGGATGCCTAGGGTCTACCTCTATATTTATTGAAGTATTATTCCCTAGAATGAAAGAAGAGTTAAGTTTTTAGAAATCAAACAGTTCATCAAAAATTACTAAAAAATAAAGGAGTGTCTGTCTTGAGTAATGATTTTCAAAATTATTACTATCACTGAAGATTCAGGTATTCTTAAGTTTCATAAAAACAACCAAATTATAAGTTAACATGATTAATTTGGGAGCTCTGGTGGCATTGTGCCTAAGGCACTTGACTCCTAACCAGAAGGCTGGTAGTTCAAACCCACCAGCCACTCCTTGGAAGGAAGGTTGGACAATCTATTTCTGTAGTGATACCACCTCAGAAACCCAAGGAGGAATCACTATGAGTCAGATCCAACTCCGTGACAGTGCATTACATTTGTTTTATTGTATGATTAATTTAGATTAGAATTCTGGTTAAAATTTTGTTATAGTTAAAGCTTGAATAAAATTTCTCCATGAACAAGAATGTAGACATGTATTAACTCTGGTGAAGGGAAAGCCAGTATACAACAAGGGGGAGGGAGGTCAGCACAAAATGATCAAGGAAAATGGAAGACCCTGAGAGGATCACAAGAGGTCAAGGCTACGAAGGGAAATACCATTACATATACAATCCTGAAATAATAGTAATAACAATAATCTATGATATATAGTAAGATACTCAAGATGGACAGGGATAAGAAAGCTACAAATATATACAGGTTTGACAGGATATTTCTATGTGCTGCAAATATATCCATGAATATAGGACAGCATAAAAGTGACAAAGTTATGGAAACTTCTTAGTTATAACCAAACACTGAGGAAATGAGTGGGGGCTGAGGACCACAGTTTCAGGTGGCACTATGGCCGATTGGTGTAACACAGTCCAGAGAGACAATGTCCTACATCTTACTGGTGGTGAGTAGCAACTGGGGTCTTACAAGCTTGTGTGTGGCCACATAAGGTGCAAGTACTGGTGTCTCCCTGCCTGGAGCAAAGAAAAGTGAGGAAAATCAAAGACGCAAGGAAACAATTAATCCAAAGGGCTATAATAGATGACAGGAACCCCAGCCTCCACTACGCTGAAACCAGAAGAATTAGATGGTGCCAGTTACCGCTGCTGACCACTCTTGAAAGGCATCATAATAGGAAGTCCTAGGCAGAGTGGGAGAAAAATACAGAAAAAACTCAAAATCATAAAGACCAGATTTACTGGCATGATAGAGACTGGGAGAAACCCTGAGACTATATGGTCCTTACACATTCAAGCCTGGAATTGAACTCATCTCTGTGGCTCAACTTTGCCCAAACTAGCCAAATAATAGGCCTATCAGGTGAACAATACCAAGGAGGTACATACTCCTTAGAAAAACCAAAATCAGCTTTTGCCCATCGATAAAGTTCAAAAGGCAGGAAGGGACAGGACAAAAGAACAAAAAAACAGTCAACACGGGGTGGGCAGAGTGCTGTTACACTATGGGGATTGCAAGCAATGTCACAAAACATTGGGAAAACTAATTTGCTCTATAAACTTTGACCCAAGTCACAGTAAAAAACAAACAAAACCCAACTTCTTCATGAAGTGAATAAGTCAATGGTCTTCAGTATAAAAAATATTACCATAAGCCATCCTTTTAAGAAGCACGGATCTCAATCACTTTTATGGCTTCCTTTTCATAAAAGTGTGGTCAAAAATACAAATACTAGAAATGAAATAAATGATAAGAGTAAACATGTTGAAATTCAAGTTGTATGAAAATCCATAATTTATAAAAACATTATCTGACTTAACTTCGTTCCACATGAAGCCTTCCCTTCAAAGTTAATGAAGGGTTCAATTCACATTAAAATGGAAATTACTCATTTTATTACCAAAATGATAAATCAACCAATTCACAGAATCTAAGAAAATGTTATTTTTACTTAGCACTAGATTCTTTTATATATCGTAAATATATTGGACTGCAGTACAAATTTCAGAAATTTTACTGCTATTTTTTGGAAATACATAGTTTATTTGTTTAAAATCAATTTGGATTTAATTTTATGGTTAAAATGTGTTGATAAATTTCTATACACTATGTAATAGGCATTTTCCTCAAGAATGGCAACAAATTAAATAAAATTAAAAAACAAGCAAAAAGAGGCAATAAAGTTAAAAAAAATGACTTAAGCCACTGAATGGCAAAAATAAAAATTTTTAAAAGGTTAAAACTGCCGTTGAGTTGGATCCGATTCTTAGCAACCCCGCCTTGCGTTTCTGAGGCAGTATCACTATGGAAGTTTAAAAAGGTTATAAGCTCATTTATTAACAAATTCTTTATAATGAACACAAATGCCCTATTAGCCTTTTAACAATCTACTAATAGCTCTAGAAAGTACTTTCACTTAACAACAATGGCTTGTGTTGACTCATATTTCCATTAAGTTGCTGAAAACCAGGTCTTAAACAAGTGTGCACCTGGGGGCAGAAATGAGAGCTAAGTGGTAAATACAGAGAGAGAATGAATAATAATTGTGGGGATTATAATGACTGTCACAAAGCAAAATGTATATGAATTGTTGAATGGAAAACTAATTTGCTCTAGAAAGGTCAGGCAAGACTAGGCAGACAAACTACACAAACCCTTGGCAACAAAGCAATGAGAAACCAATTGAAACCATATAGAAGACAATCCTCGAACCCTGAGCTTTGAAGGGAAGGATAAAGAAGTAGATTAAACACCAACTAGTAGAAGAACCTGAATGAAAACAGTGAGTAAGGACACAAATGTAGCTATGTACTGCTGGCTGTCCTGAGTGTGTAGCCATTTTGAATATTTAAGTGTGTCTCCAGTAGCAACCTAAGAATCAACTCTGCTCACCAAGGACTACATAAGTGAGGACTACACTGGTGCCTGACAATCAGAAAGGAAAACAGCAAAGAAGGAGACGAACAGAACTGGGGACTGCCAGATGTCCTGAGCGTGCAGCCATTTTGAATATCTGCAGGCAGCACAGTCATTTTGAATATCTAAGTGGGGTTCTGCCCTGGACAGTTACCAAAGAATCAGGTCTGTTTGCCAAGGACAGCATGGGCAACCACACAGGAGGCTAACTACTAGAAAGGTGTGATATTCCCCTTGTTACTCTTACAACCCAAACTCTCTTGATGAACAGAGGTGTGGCCAGCCCCACCTCCACCCACCTTCTTGACCAGCAGAAATTCCATCTTGTTCTGTGCCCTGACAGAGCCTGGGTACTGTGCCATCCCCCCTACAGTTTTGGTTTGTTTTTAAATTATTCTTTTTGTCTTCTTTCTTTCTTCCTTTGTATTTATTATTTTCTCCTCTTTCCTGTCCCTGGTTCATTCTTCTTTTTCTTTTTTCCTCTTTCTTTTTCCTGGTACTCTTCTTTTTTCTTTCTCTTGGTTCTTCCCATTCCTTGTTTTCCCTTTTCTTTAAAAAAAAAAAAAAAACTATTCTTTTACTCTTGCTCTTTTTCCTAATTCTCCCCTCCCCAGATACTGTGGGTTGTTTTTTTTTTCCATATTTTATTTTCCTCATTATCTTTCCTTTGCCTTTTTTTAAAAACTGTATTTTAAAATTTTTTCTTATCTATTCCTTTTTTTTTTTTTGCAATTGTTCCTGCTTGTTTATGCAGTATTGCAGTATTTTTTCTCTTATTTTTATTTTTTTATTTTTTGGTAGTTTCTTTTTTCATTTATTTTGCCTAACTGTTCCTACACAACACAACCTTACCTGAACATCCTGCAGCCCCACGCACTGAGTGAGGGCCACCACTTGCTTTTGCACCATCTGACCAATGATAGACAGCAGGCAATACAGCTCAACTCACCCTCAACTGCTCTTTATGAACAGCTAACACAGATCTCATTCTCTATCACACCCACCAGGAGACAGGTGGTGAATGCCTGAGTGCCTAAGTGCTAACAAGTAGCAAACAGAGAAGCATAGTACCTTGCTAACACAGATGTATCAAAACAAAGTAAAGGGGGGAAAAAAAGTCTTGGGGGAATCACACCAACATACAACCACGAATTAAACATAAATACACCACTACCACAATGTCTCAGAGACAACAGACATCACAGTCTACACAAAGAAGCAAGATAAAGTAGTAGATACAAAAGACCAGGATGCATACCCAGAAAACATCCCTGAGGAAGAAGCAGCATTGGAACCCCTTGATTGGAAATTCAAAAGAATTATTTTTAGGTACATTCAATGGATTGAGAAGCAGATCAAGGAAAACACTGACAAGATGAAAGAAAAACACTGATGAAATTAAGAAAAACAGATAAAACTCTAGAAGAATTTAGGAAAACAATACAAGAATAAATTGAAAAAATGAACAAAAAATTACAAACAATACAAAAACAACAAACAGACATCCAGAAGATTAATACTAAGATTTCAGAAATAGGTAACACAATGAATGGGCAAAGGAGTAGAATCAAATCAATAGAATACAGAATTAATGAGATTGAAAACAAATACCTCAATATTTCTTTGGAAAGGGATCAATCAGAAAAAAGATCAGAACAAAATGAAGAAAGCCTAAGATTCATATCGGATACCATCAAGAGAAATAACCTACGTGTAATCAGAATTCCAAAACAGGAAGATACAGATGAAACAACAGAGAAAACTGTTGAAGATTTCTTGGAAGAGAATTTCCCTAATATGATGAAAGATAATATATCCATTGAAGAACTTCAACAAACCCCAAGATATATCATTAGCAAGCTCACAAAAACTAAAGACAAAGAAAGAATCCTGAAAGCAGTGTGGGACAAATGAAAATTAACCTACAAAGGGCAATCAAACTAAGCTCTGATTTCTCAGCAAAAACCATGCAGATAAGGCAATGGGATGATGTATATGAAAGCCTAAAAGAAAAAACTCTCCAATCAAGAATTATATACCCAGTAAAACTGTTGATGGTGAAATTAGAAGATTTCCAGATAAGCAGAAATCAAGGTAATTTGTTAAAACCAGACAAACCTTAAAAGAGATGCTAAAAAGAGTCCTTCAGA